GTATCTCAAAATTATGACTTGGTGTCTCCAAATAATGACTTAGTGTCTTAAAATAATGACTTAGTGTCTCCAAATAATGACTTAGTGTCTTAAAATAATGACTTAGTGTCTCCAAATGATGACTTAGTGTCTTAAAATAATGACAAATAATGACTTAGTATAGCTAAATAATGTCTTAGTCTCTAAAAATTATGACTTAGTTTCTCAAAATTATGAGTTAGTGTCTCCAAATAATGACTTATAGTGTCTTAAAATAATGACTTAGTATCTCCAAATGATGACTTAGTGCCTTAAATAATGACTTAGTATGGCTAAAAAATGTATTAGTCTCTAAAAAGTATGACTTAGTTTCTCAAAATTATGAGTTAGTGTCTCCAAATAATGACTTATAGTGTCTTAAAATAATGACTTAGTGTCTCAAAATTATGATCTAGTATCTCAAAAATAATGACTTGGTGTCTCAAAATAATGACTTAATATGGCAAAATAATTACTTAGTTAGGCAATGCCGTGACTTAATATCACTAAATAATGACTTAGTATAGCAAAGTAATAACTTAGTATCTAAAAATAATAACTCAGTATCTCAAAATAATGACTTAATATCCCTAAATAATGACTTGGCATCGCAAAGTAAGGACTTAGTATCACAAAATAATGACTTAGTATCTTAAAAATATAACTTAGTATCTTAAAACAATGATGTAGTATCTCAGAATTATGACTTAGTATCTCTCTTTTTTTTTTGTCATCACATTGGCGGCAGTAGGCTTCCATACTCTGTACATCTGGAGTGGAATATAAGATAACTAGGGATTGTGTTTTTATCTGCCACATTGTTGTGAACAAGAACATCGCCTTCATGGCTGGCAGTATTCCATATTTTTGTCACGATGAGCAGATTGTTTTTGTTTGATTGTTTTTAATAATAATTAAGTGGGAGGTGACTTCTGGTCCCTTTGGCAGCAGATGTTGGTGGATGACCACTTGTTGACACGACAATATGTGTCAGCAAGGAAAAAAAAGACATGTAAAGCATGACATGAATAATGAAGCATGTTCATAAGCATGATCAAGTTTCTGTGTAATTATATTGTGTGGCGTCACTGTGATTTCTCTGGAGAATCCCTCTAACCAAGGTCCCTCGTTGAGTTTCTGTAAATGCATGCTGAATCAGTGTGTGCACATTTTGTTCCTGTTGTGTCACACTGTTCTGTGTTTGCACATACTGTGCTTGCAGTTTAATATTAAAGTGCTGTGGTTATTAAATTCCACAGTGAATAAAAAGCACAGCGCTGAGCATCTGAATGCATCCAGCATGGTCTGTTTCTGCTCCTGTCTCCAGTGCATGAGAATAAATCCCTGACTAACGCAGTCGTCTTTGTGCTCCGTCCTCCGCCTCTAATTGGTCCTCTTTCTCTTCCCGCCTGCCTGAAAACTATTTCCAGTCTCAGACGTGCCGCCCCCACCTCCGCCCGCCGAGGAGCCGGTGTTTGAGGAGCCCACACCTCCTCCTCCGCCGCCGGAGGACTACGAGGACGATGAGGATGAAGAGGAGTCGGCGGTGGTGGAGTACAGTGACCCCTACGCCGAGGAGGACCCGCCCTGGGCCCCACGCAGCTACATGGAGAAAGGTCAGCCTTCACTGCTCCATCCTAAAATACTGAAACAGGCATTGAGGCTGCACCACTCCCTCCGTTACTCATGTCAGCCTTACGCCAAACGTAGTATGGTTAATTCTAATTACAATTTGTCCTTTACGTTCCTGCAGTGGTGGCCATCTACGACTACGCTCGAGACAAGGAAGACGAGCTTTCGTTCCAGGAGGGCGCCATCATCTACGTGATCAAGAAGAACGACGACGGCTGGTACGAGGGCGTGATGAACGGGACCACGGGCCTCTTCCCCGGCAACTACGTCGAGTCCATCATGCACTACGCCGACTGAACAATCCCCCCTCTTGAGCTGACGAGGAAGAGGAGCGGGAGGAGCGTTTGATTGGGGAAGGGAAGGGGAGGGAGGGGAGCCAAGGGTTAAAGGTCAAAGACTTTGATCAGACAGAGCATGATCACCTCCGGGCAAAGAGAGAGAAGAGAGACAGGGGGGAAGAAGATGCAGTTTTTAAAGAAGTTGCAACATGACAAACTGATGCCCAGTCACTCTCTCGACATAGGCGCCATTGTAAAACAACCACTACTCTAGATATATCCTTCCCTGTAATATTTCTTTCTTTGTTTCTTTATTTGACTGAGGACTGGACGGTGATGGATTTATTGTACTTTAAGAGTTTTGTGTTACATTTATGAGGCCACTACATTGATTTAGCTTCATTTTTTTTTTTTGTTTTACCAATTTGCCCTTATTTTAAAAGATATTTATTTGGATTTTGTAGTGGGATAAATGGTGAGCACGTAGATGGGGCTGCTGTGAGGGATGTAGTCGGGGGTTTCCACGTGGCAGCCTCGGAGAAAGGGCTGGAGGAGAATGCCTTCATGTGTAGATTCTCTCCTGAACACTCCAGAGACATTTTAGAGAAAAATACTCCTCTATATATAAAGTATAATGCAACAACAATATCCTCGATGGGGGGGGGATAAACAGTAGTTTCAGTACTTGACAAAATATTTGTTTAGGTACCTCAGCAGAGAGTGTGCCAAAGCTGACGTTCACTAGGATAAGCACATGAAATGTCTTAAGGTGACACACGGAGCTCGATGAAAGTGGGTCAGAAAAGACGTCCGGAAGCAAACAGAGTGCTTTAAACCAAGATTTTTTTTTTTTTTGCTTCTTTATATTTTGAAATATCTTGAGGTGTAACTCAAAAGGAGTCTAGTCACTACATGCTTCACTTTGCTGGCCAGTGTGCATTTTAACGCGCGAAGGAATCGTCATCCAGCCCTCAAATCGGAGGAAAGCGAGATCCTCAGTTGCACAGTGACCTGGATTTTGAAGTCTGCAGCACCTGTCATGAATAATAGAAGTATATTAGCTCGACTGGCGAGGCTAATCATTTGCAGTGTTCATATGCATTTGAGACGAAGACATTTTTCTTTTCTTTTTGACGTTTCACCAATGGGTCCAGAATCGGGTTTTGCTTGCAGAGCGGCAGACTGCATGTTCGACGAGGAGGGGAAAAAAAGCATTTCTTTTCTGCTCTACTGATGATTAATGTCTTAATATTTTTAGATATGGTGTGGTTTGGTTTTTGATATTCACCCACGACTACGACGACGATGCATTTAGGTCATTTCGAAGACGCTTGTGCCATATTGAAGTGTGTGTTGCTGTTCAGAGGTTATCACTTCATTTGCAATAAATTGGCCAGAGTGGGGTGGATTGTCGTTGAACAACAAATCTTTATTTTCTTTCTCTCAGTTTTCCCGAGTTGTTTTGAATCAAAAGCACATACATTTGTAGTAAAAAGGTGTAGAAGAAGAAATAATATAAATGTGAGATGTATTATGTCCTCAAAACAGGACTTACTGAATATGAAAAGATGCCAGCTGTTGTGTTGAAATGGTTCTTAACCGTCGCAAGCCCCCGATACTTCTTAACGTCGTCGGTTTAGGCGTCGTTCGTCCTCCGTAAAGTTTCCAATATGCTTGGCTGTTGGGTGTTTGCGAGGGCTCAGTGCTTGTACTTATGTCAGAATCTTTATTTTCTATTAAAAAAAAAAAAAAGAAATAATAACAAGTGGGTCTGTATGTGAGTCTTGCATGCCATTGTTCTTATCTGTACTGGTGTCCCAAAAACCTACGTGGCGAGATCACCCATTCTTAAAAAGACAAGCAGCCCTGCAGCTCTGACCAAGTACCACCAGCCTCATCCAAAGAGACTGTACAACTTAATTCAAGCCCATGTCCGAGGAGTCGCTCTCTGACCTGTGGGGGAGGAGGGAGGGAGGGAGGGAGGGAGAGAGGGAGGGAGGGGAGGGACCCGGCTTCCTCCCCTCCTGACAGTAGCCGTCATTACATCAGGGGTGAGAAATCGTGTGTTTAAAGCTGCTAGTGAATCCTGCGGACAAAGAAGCAGGCCGGAGTTGAACGATGAGAAATGTAACACGCAAGATTGACTCTTGTTTCAGAACACTCGTAGGATGACACTAAAAAAAAAAAATACAAACCCAAATAAGGCCCCTGGTCTGCAGGATTCACAGCTCCCTGGAGTCACAGACGTCCCTCGGGATGTCGAGTTTAACAGTCCATAATGCCATTGTGTTGCACAGTTAAAGTTGAATTGCAGAAGTATCATATTTGTAAAATCATGAGAACAAAGACAATAAAACTATTAAGATTTATTGGTGTAGTTGATTCTTGTTTTCATGGAGAAATTATAGGATGGCTTTCTGATAATAGTCTACTCTGGTTTGTGTTACAGCTCAAAATGTGTAGTTGCCATTCATTTTAAATGCAAGTGATGCCTGTTTGAGACTAGAAGCTGTTGAAAAAAGGAATGTAGTTCTTTTATGCACCAACGTGAGTCAACTTTTTGTTTCCCATCACTTTATTTCTCCCTGCGATCAGTCTCTCCTTTCCTGTATGACAGCTATTTGAATCAGATATTTTTGAATAAGAGAAATATAATGTCATGACAGTGTGATTTAACATTTAGGATCATGACTCCCAAAGTACTGTGTAAATAGATTGAGGAATTTTATTTTGTAATTATTTTTCCTGCTGATTTTTTAAAGATTTTTTTTTTTCAAAACCCAGCTATATATTTTCTTTCAGAATTAAAAAAATGTTTTTCTAAACTTTTTATTTTATTTTAATTTTTTTCTTCTTTAATTCTTTTTAAAATAAATATTTCTTTATTTTAAATTTGAAAGAAAGCATTTGGCAGTTTGGAAGTCGTGTTTTTTTTTTGTTTTGTTTTGTTTTTTTTAAATATTTTGTTAATATTTTTATATTTTAAAAAAAAATCTTTCTTTGAATTTTAAAGAAAACGTGCTGGCAGGTTTGGGATGTCATGATTGGCCAGTCTGCGTCCGGGGGCGGGACTTAGCGAAGGGTCAATGTCCCGCTTTACTAGTTGTCCGACTTTTTATTCCAAATGAGCGTCTGCGAAACACCTCAAAAAGATGTCAGTTAAATGTAGTTGTGAAAGGACAGTAAACATTTCTACCTGTGACATTAAGTGAGAGCGTAAAAGTGAGAGAGACGTTTTACTTTCAGTGGAAGCGGAACAAAGTGTCAGCTCGCTGCACTTCCCGAACTCAACAGTGTGACTCCAGCGGAAGTAAACAACACAAGCGCTATCGCCTTTCGCAGCATTCACATGCTCATGTTGCTGGAATTACAACCTCAGCACAGACGAGTATTAATTAATTAAATTAATAAACAACAATGTCTTCAGCTGAGCATTTTAAAGAGTTTATAAACGACCGTCTCGCTGCTGCTGCGGAAGAAATATTCAGAGTTTTTAAGAAAACAGTGACCGGGTATGAAGAAGAGATCGGCCGTCAGCGCAGACTGCTGGATATCGTTTGGAAACCTGAAATAAAGATTCACAGGATAGGTGAGAAAACCTTCATGTTTTCTAGCATTCCTTATTTCCTTTACTTTTAAGTACCTTCTACCCCCCAAAAAATGAAAAAAATCTGTCTGAATTGGTATCTGTACATATATTTAACTTAAATTGCACTGCTCTTACACTTTAATTTAATCACCTCACATTAATACCTGCACTGTCAACCATCTAAATGAACTTGGTGTTACTGACCCTCTCTACAGCTGCTCCATCAAGGATTATGGGCAAATGATGGTGCCAGCCAGAGCTCCTGAAATCGATCACCATCTGTTTGGTTTTGTCTCCTTTGAGAGAGATTGTTGAGATTACACCATGCTGTTAGTTGCCCCACCTCAGCCCTGTTGCCAACGAGTCCCACTACTGTTGTGTCCTCGGCAAACTTGATAATGTGGTTGGTGTTAAATCTAAAAGTACAGTCGGAGGTAGCAGGGTGAACAGCAGGGGGCTAAGGACGCAGCCCTGGGGTACACCTGTTCTCACTGAGATTAGTTTTGACTGCCCACCCTGACCATCTGCTGCTTCTGTGACAGGAAGTTGTTCAAGGTGGGACAGGGTGAGGTGGATATTGAATCCTCTGTGGATCAATTTGCTTTCTATGCAAACTGTAGGGGATCTAAGTTTGCTGGGAGGCTGGCCTGAGCGAGAGTTTGAAGATTTCTTCAAAAACATCTTTCAGCTGTTGTGTGTTCTGTGTCCCTCCAGATCTCCCACAGCAACAAGTCTTAAAGGAGGAGGACGTTTTCGCCGACTCCAGTCTGGATGAAGAGGACCCAGAGCCTCCACAGATTAAAGAGGAACAAGAGGAACTCTGCACCAGTCAGGAGAGGGAGCAGCTTGAACCGAAGCAGGAGGCTGCTGCCTTTACGTTGACTCCTACAGATGAGGAAAGTGAATACAGTAATGATCTGACGCTGAACTTCAACCCTGATGAGGCTCTAAATACAGCAGAGAACGAGTCTGTAGTGCCAGTTATATACTCTGTCATATCAGAAGCACACAGTGACCACCTGTCTCACAATTCTCTGAGCCAAGATCAGAAAGGAGGCGAGCACGGAGACTCAGGATCAACCAGAAACGCAGAGCCAAAACCAAACAAAAAACATCACCAAAGCAGTGACAGTGTAAACAGCCTGAACTTGTTAGAGAGCCATACTCCTGCAGGTAAATGGCCTTTCAGATGTGACAAGTGTGGAAAGGACTTGAAGCATAAGTCATCACTGGAAAGACACCTGAGAATCCACATAGACAAGAAGCCGTATGCTTGCAACGAGTGCGGGAAAAGATTCAGTCGGACATCAACGCTAAAAGCTCATATGACGCTCCACACCGGTGACAGACCGTATTCCTGCAGCATCTGTGAAAGGAGGTTCTGTCAGATGCCAGACTTGAAAAAGCACATGAAAATCCACACAGGAGAGAAACCATATACGTGCAGGACATGTGGGAGATCTTTCAGATGTAATGCTGAAGTGACAGTCCACATGAGAAGAGCCCACACAGGCGAGAAACCGTTTGCGTGCCACACGTGTGGGAAAAGTTTTTACAAGGCATCGGACTTGAATGCTCACATGAGAACTCACACAGGTGAGACGCCGTACTGCTGCAAAACATGTGGGAAAGGTTTCAAATGGGGTAGCGGCCTGCTGGTTCACATGAGGACTCACTCGGGTGAGAGGCCGTATACTTGTAATATATGTGGGAAACATTACAAATGCAGCACTCACCTGAAAGGCCACATGAGAATCCACACAGGTGAGAAGCCGTATATGTGCAAGACATGTGGGAAAAATTTCAGACTGAGCTGTGCCTTGAAGGTTCATATGAGATTACATGCAGGTGAGAGGCCGTACCCCTGCAAGACCTGTGGGAAAACATTCGTTATCATGGGGAATTTGAAGAAGCACATGACGGTCCACACAGACGAGAAGCCATATTCCTGCAAATCATGTGGCAAAGATTTCAGAAATAACTGTGCTTTGAAAATACACTTGAAGAGGAAGAAGCTTTGCCTTTCTGAACTTGTGGGAAAAGATTAGCATTGAAAAGGCATATGAGCAGCCACACAGGTGAGAAACTATATGCTTGCAAAACATGAGAGATGATGTTCTACATGATGCTGCAACTAATCAGTCCGAGCAATGAGAGGAGTGTGGGCAATGAACGTTTTCCTGATTTCATGTGCGGGGTTCCCATACAGGTTTATGGACAAATATCAAAACTTTTCAAGGGCTTATAATAATTAAAAAAAAAAAAAATTTAAAAAAGTTTTTATTTTGACCCTTCCCAAAGCTACAGATATTTTTCCTTTGAGCCTCCCAGAGTGACCAGTGGAAAATTAGTTATTACATTTTTAAAACATACCTTAGGTGTTGTGTTTATTTATTTATTTTCATTTCTTTAATGAAAAAGGAAAATTTTTACAAGAAAAATTCTTGACAAAAAAGTGCACTTTTTAAAAAGAAGACATGACTCCCACTGCATGCTTTGTTTCAAAATTTTCCAGAAAAAGATAAATATTTCTTTAAACAAAAAATTCAAGGGAAAAAATTTAACTTTTATTTGTATTTAATTTTTAGAGAAAATATGTAGGTGGGTGATAGACAATTTGGGATTCATGAGCCCTAGTGTTAAATCACACTGTCATTACATTATATTTATCTTATTTAAAAAATATCAGAAAGTAAATAAATTTGTTACGTTGTTATGCGGAAGGATATCCTTTGAAGATTACTGTAAACATTTTACTATACACAAAAGAAATTCCATGACTTTTCCAGGTTTTCTATGACTGTGGGAACCCTGCATGTGTGTATTCTGACATGAGCTTTGTGAGGTGGTGATTCAAGAATAGTCTCAGACTACAAGCAAATTCTGTTCCTCAAGGCAGCAGATGTGTGTGACTGATGGTGAAAGTAAAAGCAGTCGTTGAAAAAGTGGTATAACCATAGACTGTATTATTATTATTATGATATAGTATTATTTTATTAATTTTCTCCTGTGTTGTTTAATACATTTCAATTTAAAATTTAGTTAAAAGAACTTCTGTTGTAATTTAAATCATGTACGATGTTTACATTTGTGTTTCTAGTGAGTTTCCTTGGTAATTAATGAATGTGAATGCTGCTGTATGTGTTCTATACATCTTCAATAAAAATCTTATTTATACATATATATGTATCACTGAGGTTGCATTTATGAATGAGCCATATTTGTGTTGTTTATAATGTTAATCTGAACCAGCTGGTTTCTGTTCTTATCTCCATACACAACAGTGCTAGCCAGCCGGCCGTGACCTCCCCAAGATGGCGGCGACGTTGACGCATCGCTGAAACGGGCCGAAGCCGTTAACGAGGTATCTACTGTATATGATATCTATGATACACCCTATTTTTAGTCAAAATTAGTGTGTGCGAAACACCTCAAAAAGTCGTCAGTTAAATGTAGTAGTGAAGGAATGTAACAATTCCTACTTGTGAAATTAAGGGAGAGAGACGGAAGCGGAACAAAGTATCAGCTCACTGCACTTCCGGAACTAATCAGTGTGACTCCAGCGGAAGTAAATAACACAAGCGCTAGCGCCTTTCGCGGCATTTTCATGCTCATGTCGCTGGAGTTACAACCTCAGCACAGACGAGTATTAATTAATTAAATTATTAAACAACAATGTCTTCAGCTGAGCATTTTAAAGAGTTTATAAACGACCGTCTCGCTGCTGCTGCGGAAGAAATATTCAGAGTTTTTAAGAAAACAGTAACTGCGTATGAAGAAGAGATCGGCCGTCAGCGCAGACTGTTGGATATCGTTTGGAAACCTGAGATAAAGATTCACAGGATAGGTGTGTTACTTTCTCAACATAAAACAGAGCAATTCAATTGTTAATTTATCCAAGTTTTTATTAATAATGGAACTAATTTTCTCGAGCATCACAGTGGTGCCATTTTCTTTTTCAAAATTAAGTTTATTGTCATTTTTCTCGTGTGTATATATATATATACATAAAAACAGACAAACTGCTGCTATCCCAGTCCCAGCAATCTAACTATATATAGATAAACAGATATTCCACTATCTGTTAGCTTTTTATATCTAACCTTCTGTGCTCTATATGTTTTATATTTTCCAGCATTCCTTATTTCCCTGATTTCCCCTATTTATTACTCATCTATCTGTGTGTCTACGTGTTACTGTATGTTACAGTATGTGTGCAAGGCAAGCTGTTCAAATTGCCCCTGGTAGGATTAATAAAGTTGTCTGATTCTGATTGCAGTTTCCAAACCAGGGAGTAAGGTCATAGGTCACAGTACTCTCAGTGGTGTCCCTTGTGGAAGGTGGTGAGGGCTGGATTGGGTAGACCTGCCCTCCTTAGGGCTCCAGAAGGGGCTGGAGCAGCTGTTTTGCCTTTTTGGTTCTGGCCAAGTGTTGATGGTAGAGGTCAGGTTGTCCGCTAGGTGCTCACCCACAAACTTGGTGTTACTGACCCTCTCTACAGCTGCTCCATTAATGATTATGGGCAAATGATGGTGCCAGCCAGAGCTCCTGAAATCGATCACCATCTGTTTGGTTTTGTCTCCATTGAGAGCCACATTGTTGAGATTGCACTGTGCTGTTAGCTGCCCCACCTCATCAGCAAATTTGATAATGTGGTTGGTGTTAAATCTAAAAGTACAGTCGTAGGGTGACCAGCAGGGGGCTTAGGACGCAGCCCTGGGGTACACCTATTCTCACTGAGATTGGTTTTGATATGTGACTGCCCGCCCTGACCATCTGATGGTGTTGAACGCTGAGCTGAACCCGATGAAGAGGATCCTGGCGTAGGTGTTTTTCCCTTTATGGTGCGACAGAGTGACATGCAGTGTAGTGGATCGATTTGCTTTCTATGCAAACTGTAGGGGATCTAAGTTTGCTGGGAGGCTGGCCTGAGCGAGAGTTTGAAGATTTCTTCAAAAACATCTTTCAGCTGTTTTGTGTTCTGTGTCCCTCCAGATCTCCCACAGCAACATGTCTTAAAGGAGGAGGACGTTCTCGCCGACTCCAGTCTGGATGAAGAGGACCCACAGCCTCATCAGATTAAAGAGGAACAAGAGGAACTCTGCACCAGTCAGGAGAGGGAGCAGCTTGAACCGAAGCAGGAGGCTGATGCCTTTATGTTGACTCCTACAGATGAGGAAAGTGAATACAGTAATGATCTGACTCTGAACTTTAACCCTGATGAAGCTCTAAATACAGCAGAGAACGAGTCTGTAGTGCCAGTTATATACTCTGTCATATCAGAAGCACACAGTGACCACCTGTCTCACAATTCTCTGAGCCAAGATCAGAAAGGAGGCGAGCACGGAGACTCAGGATCAACCAGAAACGCAGAGCCAAAACCAAACAAAAAACATCACCAAAGCAGTGACAGTGTAAACAGCCTGAACTTGTTAGAGAGCCATACTCCTGCAGGTAAATGGCCTTTCAGATGTGACAAGTGTGGAAAGGACTTGAAGCATAAGTCATCACTGAGAAGACACCTGAGAATCCACATAGACAAGAAGCCGTATGCTTGCAACGAGTGCGGGAAAAGATTCAGTCGGACATCAACGCTAAAAGCTCATATGACGCTCCACACCGGTGACAGACCGTATTCCTGCAGCATCTGTGAGAGGAGGTTCTGTCAGAAGTCAGAGTTCAGAAAGCACATGAAAATCCACACAGGAGAGAAACCATATATGTGCAGGACATGTGGGAGATCTTTCAGACGTAATGCTGAAGTGACAGCCCACATGAGAAGAACCCACACAGGCGAGAAGCGGTTTGCGTGCGACACGTGTGGGAAAAGTTTTTACAACGCATGCGACTTGAATGCTCACATGAGAACTCACACAGGTGAGACGCCGTACTGCTGCAAAACATGTGGGAAAGGTTTCAAATGGGGTAGCGGCCTGCTGGTTCACATGAGGACTCACTCGGGTGAGAGGCCGTATACTTGTAATATATGTGGGAAACATTACAAATGCAGCGCTCACCTGAAAGGCCACATGAGAATCCACACAGGTGAGAAGCCGTATACGTGCAAGACTTGTGGGAAAAATTTCAGACTGAGCTGTGCCTTGAAGGTTCATATGAGATTACATGCAGGTGAGAGGCCGTACCCCTGCAAGACCTGTGGGAAAACATTCGTTATCATGGGGAATTTGAAGAAGCACATGACGGTCCACACAGATGAGAAGCCGTATTCCTGCAAATCATGTGGCAAAGATTTCAGAAATAACTGTGCTTTGAAAATACACTTGAAGAGGAAGAAGCTTTGCCTTTCCAAACTTGTGGGAAAAGATTAGCATTGAAAAGGCATATGAGCAGCCACACAGGTGAGAAGCTGTATTCTACATGATGCTGCAACTAATCAGTCCGAGCAATGAGAGGAGTGTGGGCAATGAACGTTTTTCTGATTTCATGTGCGGGGTTCCCATACAGGTTTATGGACAAATATCAAAACTTTTCAAGGGCTTATAATAAAATTTACTTTTTTTTTTTTTATTTTTTTTTATTTTGACCCTTCCCAAAGCTACAGAGATTTTTACCTGAACTTTCCAGAGTGACCAGTGGAAAATTAGTTATTAGATTTTTAAAGCTTACCCTTTGATGGTTGAATATTAAAAGTTGAAGACAAACTCCTGGAGTTGAAAAAGTTGCTGGTTAGTTTGTGCAAACGGTTTATTTTTAGCCAAATTTAAAATGTAGAATAAAGTGATTTGATGAAATGTCAAGATGAAGCTCAGATTTAGTGACCATTTTTTCCTGACAGAAGCATTTGTTGCACATGAGGTGTTCAAGGACCGTTGTATTTTTGAAAATATAACAATAATTAACAAATAATAACAAATAATTTCTGGCTGTGATAAATTGTGTAATTTTGGCAAAACATGCATCCCAAACCCACTCACATGTTTTCTCTGAAATTAAAAAATATATATAGCGGTGTTCCTGTCCTGTCAGATTTGCCAAACCCTGTTCTTTTTTCTTAAACCCAACCATGTGCTTTTGTTGCCTAAATCCACCCATGTGTGTTCGAAAAGAAAAAATGCCATACGCAGTGTCTTAAAGAAGTCTTGAAGAAAGAAGAACATTTTTACAAGAAAAATTATTTGCAAAAAAATGTACATTTTTTTTACAAAGAAGACATGACTCCCACTGCATGCTTTGTTTCAAATTTTTAAAGGAAAAAAAAATATTTCTAACAAAGAAAATTCAAGAAAAAAAATGTAGAATTTAAATACAAAAACTTATTTGTATTTAATTTTTAGAGAAAATATGCAGGTGGGTTTGTGAGGCATGTTTTCTTTACAAATCGGCAGTAAAATAAATACAAAATAGAATCTCTGTGACCATTCACACAATGATGGACAATTTGGGATTCATGAGCCCTAGTGTTAAATCACACTGTCATTACATTATATTAGAAAATAAATACATTTGCTGTTACGTTACATTATGTGGAAAGATATGCTCTGAAGATTACTGTAAACATTATACACAACAAAATTCCATGCCTTTTCCAGGTTTTCTATGACTGTGGGAACCCTGCATGTGTGTATTCTGACATGAGCTTTGTAAGGTGGTGATTCAAGAATACCACATTACACCTTAAGTCTCAGACTATAACCATAGACTGTATTATTATGATATTCATCTTATTTTATTAGTTTTCTCCTGTGTTGTTTAATACTGCATTTCAGTACAGAACTTCCTTTGTAATAAGTTTACATTTGTGTTCTAGTTTCTACTGTTATAGTTTCTTTGGTAATTAATGAATGTGAATGCTGCTGTATGTGTTCTGTACATCTTCAATAAAAGTCAATTCATAAAAAAGTGCTCAGACTATAAACCATGTAAAGCAAGGGAAACAGCAAGCTAGCCACATTGGTTCTGGAACCTGTTGCTAGGCAACCACACATAAATCAATATTTTATTTTATTTCGTAAGTTGTTTTATTTATTCATTTACTCTTTTTTCTCCAGTCCTCAACTGCCTGTTTTTGGTATTTCCTCCTTTTATTACAGTAAAAAAAATAATGTCCTTCTAAGAGTATATTATTTTCAGCTTTTAAAATGCGATGTAAAAATGAAGATAGCAGCTAACTTAGCATAGCAACTAGACTGGAAACCATGGAAACTGGGGGAAACAGTTTGGGTTTTTTTAGGGTTTTTTTTAGTTTATTTAGTTAGTTTTATTAATTTTTATGTAGTTACTTTTATTCATTTATAGTGATACTAATAGTGAAAAAACACTTCCGGGCACTGCAGGAAGTTTGAAATCCTGCTGCTGTCTCTTCTCTCGGCCGTATATCGCAATGCATGATGGGATATATTACTTGGTGAGTGACCATCCGTTGGACACTACATTTAATGATGCGTTGTGTGATACTTTGAGTCCACTATATAGTGTATACTTCCTACTGTACATTCGGGCAGCACTACAAAATGGCGACCTCACTATATAGTTAGTGAGCTATGTAGTGAGTTGTTAGAGATTTCGGACACAGCCTATTTTTTAGTATATCCTTTTTTTATTTTTATCTTTCTTAAAGTATATCCTTTTCAACTTCTGAACTTTAAGTTAAGGAAAGGGACAATTCTGTTAAAAGCTAGCTAAAGATGAAGCTAGCAGCCGGCCAAGTTAGCTTAGCACACAGACTGGAGCAAGCTAGGTAAACTGCTTCTAGGACCCGTTGCTAGGCAACCGTGAATTCCTTAACAGAGTCCTTAACTTCCTGTTCTGTTAATTCCTTATTTCAGAAAGCTAAAACAAGATTGTCCTTGTTATCTTACCAAAGCATATTCCTTTCAACTTTTAAAGCTAGCTAGCTAGCGGCCGGCAAACTTAGCTTAGCACACAGACTAGCTATGTCCTGGCTCCGGAACCTGTCGCTAGGCAACCACGCAAACATCACAGTTTTTAATTTAATTTTATTTAGTTACTTTAGTTGTATTCATTTACTTTTTCTTCAGTCCTTAACGGCAAGTTTGGTCTTTATAAGCTTAAAGAAAACTCCGTAATGTCGTAATGTTTCTTACTCAAAGAAAGGGAAGCTTTCTTTTTCATCCAATAGGAGTCATTGAGGGTGTGAATGGATGAATGCCGATAAGAAGCGCACTTCCTCCTCTGCTTGCATTCAGAGCTTCACTCCTCACTCGCACTCACTCCTTAACCTCAGCTGACGACTTAATGGTTTCTTACCACTTGAAACATTTCTAAGTATTCACAGCAGAATCACGTGGTTTGTGTCGTTTTAATTTATGGAGAAGAAAATGTTGAAGTCGGTGACTCTGTTTATATTTCTGTCATGGACAGCAGTGACGGCCAAATACGGTAAGTTTGAGATTATATTCATTTCACTGTGTGTATAGTTCTATATATCAGTTTAAAAGAATAGATAAGCGCTATATGTATAAGATCAAGATTTTACTGCACATTTGTCCTGTAGAAATACAGTAGAATAAATTTCCTTACCTGAGTATTTCTATTGAATACTCCAATAAACTTTTCCCTCCACCATAGTTACCAGTTATAGAAGAAGTAGTCCATTAAGTTACTTAAGTAAAAGTTGTAGTACCACACTGTAAAAATACTCCATTACAAGTAAAAGTTCTGCATTGAAAATTTTACTTAGGGACTGTTTGTTATTTATGAGGGGAAAGGGGTGTCAAATAATAAATATATTTTTATTTTTTTAATTTAAAGAAATTTTTAATTGCCCAAATTACACCATTTATCATAGCCAGAATCTGTACAAACAGAAATAATCAATTGATTTTTAAAAAAAAAAAAAAATTAAAATCTGACGGTCCTTGAACACATTATGTGGGACAAATGCTTCTGTCAAAGAGAAGTGCTTAAAATATGTGTCTCATTTACAGCATGCGCAATGAAAGTGAATAACAGAGGCTCTTTGTAACTCCAAGATTTCGTCTTCAACTTTTAACTTTTAAACATCAAAGGGGAAGTTTTAAAAATCTATTAACTAATTTATGGTTGAGGAAGGGTCATGCATTTTCTGCCAGTCCGCCATATTTGTAGCTGCAGGGAGGGTCAAAATAAATAAATAAAAATGACAAAAAACATAGTCACATCTCAGCCACCCCTCTCCTCTGATAAGTAAAGAACATTCCCTTAAGTAAAGGTATTAGTGTTGTCAGTGTAGCCTATTTTTGGTATCAAAATTGCCACTGTTTTTGTTATACTGTCAGCCTAAATATCACAGTATATCATTAAGTTATTATTACTTGTCCTGTACTATATGTACAACCTTGATCTGTAACATAACTAACTACTATATTTAGACCATTTAAAGAACTAAATGCTAAATATTACGTTGTCTTGTTTTTATGTCTGCAGTTGCCCCCATCTACAAGGCAGTTGGTGACAAAGTTGTCCTCACACCCTCGCCCTCTGCGGTAAAGCTCAGTGATCCCATCACCAACATCACGTGGAAACATGGACCTAACATCGCTGTGGAGTGGTACGGAGACCGCAATTTCACTTACCACCTCTTCGAAGGTACAGACACACACTTTCACTTAGCATTCAACAGCAAGGTAGCCAGGATTTGATTTGAAGCCCTCATTATGGAACAAAATAATTTACCTCTGAAAACACACCAGACACCTCAGTTAATCCCTTTAAAAATATACACCCTTACTTCCAAAAGCCTGTCATTAACAAGTTACGGACATTTTAAGGGATTAAATAACAGTAAATTATCACTTTAAGGTGATGTTAAGGTTGAGATTCTTTTTTCTGACCGTGATATGGATTCAAAATAGTTACAGTTTAAGGTATTTGTATTTTACAACCATTGGTGTGTGCTACATTAATGGATAAATTAATAGATTGTAATATATTAAGGGTTTTTGCATGAATTTAAGTGTTTATGGGTGTAGTGTGTAAAACACTGAGAATCAAGAGATAAAGCTCTTAAACTTTTAAGGCATAAATTACAGTGACACTTTCACCTCAACTTACAAGTTACCCCAAACAGCTGACACATTCATTAGTATTAATTTAAGGTGTTTTTTAATTGTTTTTCTAGTATGTTAATAGAGTTATTGGGATTTAAGTTTATATTAATGGATCAGTTAACTGACTGTTTATTAAAGGAATTATTATCGGGGGTATTTTAGGGGTATAAGTATTGACAAATAAAGTAGCCTACATTTTAAGATACACTGTAACTTAAGTGATTGCTTTAATGGATTTTGGTCAATCAATCAGTTTAAGGTGTTGTTATGGTTGGAATTTTGTTAAGGGGTCAGCAAATTTCTCAGATACAAATTAATACCATTTTAAGGGCTCTGTATGCAAGTAACTTAGCACAAACCTGAGGTTGACCTCTCAAAATAATGGCAATATATTAAAGGGTTTTAATGGGTTTTCAGCATGGATTTAAGTGTTTTAATAGGCAAAACCTGTAGAATTAAGGGTATTATTAAGGTGTTAAGTTTATGTTAGGGGTCTGA